AAATGTGGAAAATAAAGGTCAAAGTGCTCCCAGAGGTGGTAGGATCACTTGGGGCTGGGACTCCTAAGCTGGGAGAGTGGCTCCAACAGATCCCAGGAGGAACATCAGAGCTCTGTCCAGAAGAGTGCAGTGCTAGGAACAGCTAAGATACTATACAGAACCCTCACACTCCCAGGCCTCTGGTAGAGGACCTGAGATTGAGGAAGACACATACCACCCATGGGGTTAGAGGAGATTTTTCTTTTTTAATATATGAGTTTCGTAACTGCTGTTTTATTGTTTCTTTGTTTGCTCTTGGACCATAAAATAATATAACAACAATAACAATAATTACTTTAAGTCTCAGTCACATACCTTTAGTTGAAACTGTAGGCATACCAAACCTGTGGAGAAGGAAGTAGTCCTAGTTAGCAACTGTAATGTTTAGGTTTGAAGCCCTTAACACAATAGACTAGTTTGAATACTACAGTAGCTGAATTGTGAATAATTTGAAAATACATACTTGGAATATAAGACTGGTCTTTAAATCAGAAGAGCAAGTCATAGTGAACCCAGGTTTCACTTTTACCATTTAAAATATAACTACCAATCGAGTGAATTGAACAGCTTACAGTATATTTAGAGAATCATATCTTGCTCTTCCATATTTTTAAATGATAGGATCTTTAAAGCTCTTTGTACATTTCAAAACACAGGACATTTAACATATATAATGCAAGCTATGCTATCAATTGGTGACAGAGTTTCAATATTAACTTTCAATATTAAATATTTATTTCAATTTTAACCTTTTGCAATTTTTCATCTTTGGCACTGATAACAGCACAAATGGAAGCACAGAACATTATAGAATTCACAAAAAGTATTTTAGTAATTTGGGAATGCTTTAACATTTGTTAGAAGTTAAAGCTACACTTCATTGCAATGTATTGTTCCTGCATTTTAAAGCAATTTGGCATTGTTCTGGAAAGCTTCCTGCACTGAATAAGCATTAAGAGAAATGCCTACTCTGTCTCATCTGTATCTTCCAAAATATTGTTCTGGACATCCCATCTTATGTTTCACTTTTACTCAATTAATAAACCCATTTCTTAATTAGATGTGAAACTCTGGCTCTTATGTTTCACTTTTACTCAATTAATAAACCCATTTCTTAATTAGATGTGAAACTCTGGCTCTTATGTTTCACTTTTACTCAATTAATAAACCCATTTCTTAATTAGATGTGAAACTCTGGCTCTTATGTTTCACTTTTACTCAATTAATAAACCCATTTCTTAATTAGATGTGAAACTCTGGCTCGTATTCTCATCACTCCCAGCTCATATGGCCTGCAATCAGTAACTGGAATTAAGAGTTCAGAATAACTGGATGTTTTAGGCTCCCTACTCCTAATAAAAGGATGAGAACCAATAGTTTCAAAAGTTGTTAATTGGAAAGGAAAATGTTATTTAAAGTATGTGAGTTTCAATATTCACGTAAGCATCCCTGCAAAACAATAGTTGTCCACAATTCAAATTCCAGAAGTTCTTCACAGAAGTTGTCCCAATTAAGAGGTCAACAGTTACAGGATGGACCCGGAATACACTTCTATTTATACAATGGTTAAAAAGCAATATGGAACAATAATAACACAAATACACACTTACCGAGCTGCTCGTGCAGCTTTCTTACTCTCCAAGCTCACAGGGACGTTGAATCTCTCTGCTCGTTTCTGCATTCTCTAAAATTGAAGATAAAATACACACAATCTAACATAACCAACACAGAAAAGAAATGCATTTAACTTTGCTGCTTATTTATTTTATTTTTGTATTCTTCAACTATCAAATGGATCCAATAAACTTTCACTACTAATGCAGTCCTGGCTATTCTGAGTTTTGGAAGACAAGACAATATAGAAGCAAGAAAGGAGGATGCACTATTTACATACAACAGGTTTTTCTGAAACGACAAATTTCATTCAGTTATACCACTACACCTACCCTTAAACTGAGCTTAGATAGTAAGTTAACCAACTGAGAAGAAATTCAAAATGGTGAATGACTGCAGAAAACTCTTGACTTGGCCCAACTCAAATAGGTCATCTCATATGTGTTTACAAGAAGGGAGACAATACTATTGGATAAAGTATAAGAGGCAAACAGGAAGTAGGAGCCAGAAAGGGTGGGGATTTCACTTCAGAAAAGATAAATACTGTTCTTCCCTTTTTGCTTTGAAAGAATGGTCAGTAGATTCTAACAGCAAAGAAGCTTAACTGTTTCAGGAAAGCTGAAAGGCACGGCAAAAAGAAGAATAAACTAACATTGAAGAGAAGCAAGAAATTCAAGAAATTCCATCAGAAGGATCTGCTGAATCTAAAGGTTTTGTAAGAAACACAAAATGTATGTCACAACATCAGGCTGCACATCCAAAAGTAATGGAGTTTATGTTGCAATCCACATTTTGTCATTTTAAGGCAAAGAGAACACACATGATTAAGTGAAGACCTTCTAAGGTCCTGTGCTCCTCCACTTTATTTGGGAGGAGGAAGGGTTATTTGTTGATAGTAATGTGAGAAATACAATTGTAAGAATGAAGAATCATCACCATTTATCCAGGGAACCTGAGCACAACCCTACAGAAGTTAGAAGCAGCAAAATGGAGGCTCGCTTGGAAATTTTTTCTTTTTGATCTGTAGACAAATGATTACCTGACTCAGAAAGTTAATGCTTTCAGGGTTTTTCTTCCCTTCACCACACATATTCAACCACAAGTATAAGCTATTGGTTATCATACTAAACCTCTTTAATTTTATTTAAATCTTGGGTAGGCCATTTATATCAAAACTGAACTCTACTTAACAAATTCAACCTTGAAAAGCGACTCCTATTACAAAAATTTGGAAGACTGGTGGTTTCTCTTCCTTGCCTTTACTTTAGTCTGTGTAACAGAGGTAGGAGACAGATCAATGCAATTAACTCATTTGGAAACTACATACTTCTTGATGTCTATCCAGATCTTTTAGACTATCCATTACCACCAGTCAATGCCTAATGGCCAAAGATGATGTAATTTGTAGTCCCAAACACCTGGAAAGTACTATATTGGGAAAATTGGTCCACATCTTGTTTCTAATAATGTATGCATTTATTTATTTATACTGCTACTTCTATGCTGCTTCTATCAAACACATCTAAGCTTACACATTCAACATAGCAGCAGCAGCATAATACACAACAAAATAACCAGTAAGAATGCATATCAAAAATAAGAATATATTCTGCCCCCCCCC